ACCGCATGATTAAATCGATAAGCTCATCGCAACCACAACCCACAAGAATATAATCAGATTCAAGCCCCGAATCTTCAGCCAGAGCAGCACGTAATTGACGAGATTCAGGGTCAGGATAGATATATGGGAACTTCAATGACCCTAAGACTTCAAGAACCTACAAACAATCTGATATTCACAATCAGGGGATAAAGGATTACTCAATAGCAAGAACATTGCCTGCAGTGCATACAGATAAACCCAAATAATTTTTCTTTAACTTCATTCATGCTCATAATTTGGCTACATAAAAAGGAAGTGCAGTTATGTACACTACTTGCCTCTGGAGGTGGACCGTAAGGATTTTCATTTGCATCTAATTTGATGATATCTTCCGGCTTTCTTCCCAGTTTCGCTGACAAAACCTATAACATGAAAACCCGCTCATTAAGAAAAAATACCAACTGATTAGTTAACATGAAATGCATTCAGGAAGGTAATGGTGGAGCGACTGGAAAACTTCATGCACGTTACCAAAGCCACATGAATCAGCAAGAATCAACCAAAATGTATCAATCAGGTCAAGATATTAAAACCAGCTGCTTAACAATCATCAGTGAAATAACTAAAATAAGCAGAGTATGGGTCTTAATCCAATCACCTCAAAAGGCAAAATAGGTTGATAAGGAGACAATTTCCTCAAATGGGGTCGAATAAAAGAATCACCACTCAACTTCTGATTAACATGCTCAAAGGGTACAGTGGTGGAAGAAGAAGAAGAGATAGTAGCCATGATGACCCTCTTATGATTTCCTTCAAAAGAGCAAATGAGTCTTGGAGGCTTCACAATTTGGTGACTTTTGCCTCTGGGTTTGACCAAGCAAAGTGAAGCAGCGTTGGATATATTAGCGACACCCATGAATATGTCTGCTAAAGGTTTGTTTTAGAAGAAGAGATGTCAAAACCCTAAGCCCTATAACCCATATACTAATAACTGAAACTGACAAAAACAAAAATGGAACCCTCACAACTTAAGAGCTTATACAATTTTTGTTTCTTCATTTACCTGGCCCTTTTTCTTCTTTTTCTGATTATTAAATTAATTTTCCTCCCCTTTGAGTAGACAAATTGCCGCCATCCAGCCATCCTCATAATCCTTTGACTCGTAAATTGTAATCCTTTGACTTGTAAAAGTTCATGAATTTGATTGATTATGCAATAGAAGAATAGTGATTTGTTTAAAAATTTTTAAATAGTTTAAGAGTATTTTTAAGTATTATGTTATAATTTTATATTAACATTTAACAAATGATATTTTAAGTTATTTCATAAATTTGATTCATATATTAAATTAGAATGCTTTATTTTCTCAAATTATGTGTTTTGATACATACTTAAGATTCCACATATGTAACATGATAATTTAGGATTGCATTTTGAATCTTATTTCAAAGAGTAACATTTAAGTATTGTCTGTTACTGTAGAACCATAGTGATTATTACACATAAATAATTTATTAACCCATGAAGAATAAAAAAAAAGCCTATTAGTTTTACAGATTAAGGATAAATAACGGTAAAACACTTAGACTTCTTAAGTTTTAACTGAAATTTCACACGAATTTATCAATTTTTGAAATAGATACTCCATTTTTAAAAAATATCTTTTACTAGATATATAGGTTAATTGTTAACCAATTATTAATATTTTTATTAATTTGATGATTTGATAATATTAAAAAAATAATATATTTTTATTAATTTTAAAAATTACTATTATATAATATTTTTTATAAAAAAAATTCAAGCTAAGGAAGGGAGCACCGGTTCGGTGCTCCCAAGGGAGAGGGGAGCACCAATAGGGAGTGAGCACAAAACTGCTGGAGAGTGCCTGTCGTGGGGTGGTCGGCTGGCGAGTGCAAACGTACTATCTAACCACATTATTTGAGAGTAAAAAAAGAGTATTTTTATTTTTTATATTTTTTATTAATGATGTTTGTACTTTTAAAAAGAAATATTAATTTTCAAAATTAATGAAATAGCATGAAATTTCAATTAAAACCTAAGGAGTCTAAGTATTTTACCTATAACATAAATAAATATATTTAATAATGATGTAAAACCTCAATTGTAGCAAGATGAAGAAATAATTATTGCATATTGTTGACAAAACATTACTAAACATTATTTGAATGTTTATACCAATTGTGCAAAACTTTGTATAAAATTTTTTGATTTTAAAGATAATTTTGTCCAAAAAATTACAATTAAGGTTTTGTTTTTTTAATTGGAGTAAGGGAGATTCGAACCATACTCTCTAGGTAGAGAGATTATGCAATAACCAATAAATCAAATGCTTAAATGTCAATTAAGATTAGTCGAAGAAAGTGTCGAAAATATATAATGTTGGACAAAGTGATGTACTACAATTTTTGGATAGCATAGTACCTAAATCTGATTGTACTTTTGTATACCATAACCCAAAAGGAAGATTTGAGAATAATTCTTTATTTATGGATCAAATAATTTTTGACATAATATTTGAAAAAAATTTCAAATTGTTTTAAAAAATCTAAATAAACTTTTATTCTTCTATTGTATTTAATCAAGTCTTTATACTTTTATTTGGTTTTATACCATTTTTATTTTATAGGCACTTATGATTAACAGTTGATTAATTGTTATTAGTTAAAATACTATTTACCATTTTATATTTACATGACATTAATATAGTGTTGACATGACATTAACGTAGAGGGTAAAAATGTCATATAACTATATCATTATTTCAAATCATCATCCATTATAATATGTCAACATATCGAGTCGGTGCCATATAGTATAAAATGATAAATAGTATTTTGTCTAATAATAATTAATCAATCACTAATTTACAAGAGTTTATTTGGTTTAAAATAAAATGCATACTATTAAAAAACTCCTACACTATTTAGAAAACTTCAAATAAATCCTTCTACCTTTATTGTGCTCAATCAAACTCTTAAATTTTTATTTTGAGCCAAATAAGCCTTTATATTTTTATTTTGAGCCAAATAAGCCCTTATACTTTTATTTTGAGTCAAATAAACTCTTATAATTAATGATTAACTTAGTTAAAATGTCATATATCATTTTATGCTGTAAGATGTTAACATGACATGTTAAAATATTATAATTGATAATGACATGGCATGTTAATATGCCATAACTGATGTTAATGTGATATACTGATTTGGTATGATAATATGATTAATGACATTTTTTACCCTAAACATCAACGCCATGTCAGTACTATATGAACATAAAATGATAAATGACATTTGAACTAATTAATAGCAATTAATCAATCATTAGTAATAGGAGTTTATTTGATCCAAAATAAAAGTATAGAGGCCTGATTGAATGTAATAAAAGATTAAGGGCTTATTTGAATTTTTTTGAATGGATTAGGAGCTTATTTGAGCATTATACCAAAATAAAAGTATAAGAATTTGATTGAATGCAACAAAAGAATAAGAATTTTTTTAAATAATGCAAGAGCTTTTTCAAGTATCATGCTAAAAAATTTTTTGAAGTGGTTTAATTTCTCATTATTCTCTTTTTTCTCCATAAACTAGTTTCCCATTTGCTAGACAAGTGTTGTTGGAAAACTTCATGAAAAATTCATTGGTAATTCATCTAGGAAAACGAAAATAGATTTGTTCAAAAATCCGTAGGTAATAATATACTACTTTCAACCAAATTAATTTTGTCGAAAAAGGTTATTTCTTATATTGTTAAGTTAAAAAAATTTAACATCAAAACATTGCAAAAAAAAAAAGAAAACATTTCTTTTTACATTTGTTTTTTACAATAAATGTTATGATAATCTAATTTTTAACTTGTAGAATAATTTGATGGTTGAGGTGCCCTAATCTATTTTATCTTTTACTTTGCTTAACCTTTTAGTATTTACCATTAATAGTATACCTACTTTCTCCATTGATGAAAATTTGGTAGTCAGGAAAGCAAATCCTTGTCACTATATACATAGGATCTAGAGTTTGGACTGCACGGTACAATCTATTTATAGCTAGATGCCTTTCCATTTCTCTAGTATTGAAGTTCAAGCAATAGGAGTTGGAGTTTTGCATTTGGAAATTAGTTCAAGTATCACAGCTAAGATTTCTTTGCCTCAACTCCTTACATTTGTCACTCTCAAATCCTTTCCTAGTTTCCATCGTCCTTTCATTAACAAATTTAGGCATAATATTTGAAAAAATTTAAAATATAAATTCTTATTCTTTTATTGTATTTAATCAAATATTTATATTTTAATTTTAGATTAAATAAATCATAAATAATTGATTAGTAGTTATTAGTCAAAGTATCACTTGTCATAGTGAAAGGTAAAATATCACATGATTAGATCGTTATGTCATATTATCATTCATTATGATATATTAATATATAATGTTAATGTCATATGATATGGAATAACAAGTGGTATTTCGATTAACAACAATTAATCAAACATTAATGATAAGGTTTTATTTGAATCAAAATAAAAATATAATAATTTAATCAAACCGAACAAATGAATAAGAATTTATATAAATTTTTTTATATAATTTAAAGATTTTTTAAGTATTATGTAAAAAATGTTTGTACAGGAATAACCTTTCATAACTAATAAAGGTTGATTAGGCAGCTAAATGACAAATTCATATAGTTTGAAGAGGAATGGAATCTCATTTCTCAATGGGATTAAAATATCCCAATTAATTATTATACTGTCTAATTAAGAACTAATCAGAAAGGACAAAAGGGGAGCCCACATCCTCCAACTACATACTCTGTTAGCTTGGATTTCATCATCTTATGCTTTCCTCCACTCAATGTTGACTAGATCAATCCTTTCCTCTCCTCTTACTACACTAACTTTAACACCAATTTACATGGCAGTGTTTACCATATATAGAAACGTTAAAGGTTGAATTAATTTGGATTATACATAATTCATAAATTCTAATGCTAACTGATAAGAGTAATTAAGAATCTGGGATATTATAGATTTGTTTCTTCATAGTTCATACACTTCCAAGTTCCAGAATTAAAATGGAGTGGTATCTCATAACTCGAGGAGCAACAAGACTCTGTTTAGTCCTTGGAAAAAGCTCCAAAACCAGCTGAATACAGGGTGGGAAAGCTTAAAAATATATACCTTTCCATGACTTTACATATAGAAAATGAAACTTTTTGAGGAGACCTTAATTTGTCAGCAATAAATCAATCAAACTATGGAGTTTGCCAGGTGCGATGTTTAACTGACCGCTGAGAATTATGAACCAAGAAGAGCTTTCTCAAGACCCTCATGAAAACCAACATGCCTGGTCTTCTTGGAGGGAACATGGCAGCATTGTTCTTGGAGAATTTCAAGGCCTGAGCACAACCCAATTCTACCATGTCTACGGAAGACCCTGAACTGCGACTTGTTGGCAATTCTTCATTGAAATCCTCCCACAACAGGTCCATCTTTTCCTCTTCATCCTCAGCAGCTACTTTCTTGGATGACACCTTTGAAACTTTCTCTACATATGAAAAGCTCTTTCGATCCTGATGCTTCTTCTCTGGTCTATCTGGAAAACAATCTTCTTCCCCTCTCCTTGAACATTCTTTTGCTTTCCTGTCAAGAAAAACATCAGGAGATGCAGCAGGAGACAGACGCCACAAGGGGGGAGAATCAATCCCACAGGGGTATAAGTCAGCGGTGGTAGGGAAGCTGAATTCTTCAGTACTGGCCATGGCTTGGCGCTGATCGGCTCTTTCTAAACATGAGAGAGCCAAGAGAAGCTAGGCTGTTGGGGTTGGAAGTTCGGTGGTGGGTTGGGTGCCTTGGAAAATTTTTAGTTCAACTGCTTCCACAAGTTTAATAACTTTTTTATGTCAAAGAATCTAGAGTGAGTGAGGGTCCCCCTCAACGAAAAGATTTTTCAAATCTTTTGGCTCCCATGGAAGTAGGCCACCGATCCATATAATTTGGTACTCACCCATTGTCATCTCTTGGCAAACAAATGATGTCAAGTAAACAGTGACATATAATTTGGTACATTTGTTTGTATTAATAAGACCTATCTCCATTGCAACAATTGTAAGCTTTTTGTGATGGATGCATTGTGGTGGTATTTGATGTCTTATTGATTGGATACCGTTGTAAAAAATATGATTATTGAAAAGATATTATTACAGCATTTAGTATACAGTGAGAATATTACATTATAATGTTTGATTTAAAAACAATTTCTTATATTATTGAAAACATTTGGTATATTGCAAGTGAATGTGATTATTCACATTTCCAAAATTTCTATTGGTAAAATAAGTTAGTTGTATTGCAAGGTATTGTCATGAAAAAGTATGATTTGAAAACTAAAAAAAAAAGAGAGTGAAATATATGAAATGAGAAAAACCAATATATGGTAGTGCAAAATTTAATGAGCCTCTCTATATATTTATTGAAAAAAAATGATTAAATCATGCATTGTAATCATAGAATATCACATAACTTCCAAGAGTATACTATTAATTAAAACAAGAAAAAAAAAACCCAATATAAAAAAGATAGAAGGTTGAATATCCACGTTTGCGTGGTTAAGGTTAAGGAGAAAGGAGACTATATTTTTTAAGCTGTATAAGTGAATGACTTGGTTTGCATATTGGAAGGACCCGTACGCATAAATCATAAGGAAGAAGTCAAAAACTGTCAAAAAAGGGAAGAAGTGGGCATCTTATGTATCGCCGGATTGAGAGGAGATACCCTTCCTCCACCCTCATTTTTCCACAGTTTAGAATTGACTTAGAGCCTCCTTGAAAGCTATTGCATTCCTGTCATTGTTTATAAATGGATATAACGTATTTCACATCAGTAAAAAATAAAGATAAGTTTTAAATTTATAAGTAAAGATATTTTTTTATTTAATAAGTATATCTTTTAGATTAAAAATATGAATTCGTAACATACGAGTCAATTTACTTATATATTTATATTTTTTTTGTCACGTTCTTTTAGTTTAAATTTATTATCTTTTTCTCTTTATTTTTCACTTTCGGGAACTTTTATTTTTCTTATAAATGTCTTGATTCATGATTCTTTAAATATAACTTGAATATGTTACCATGTATGAGGCAAATGTACTTAGCATTTTCCAATTAATCTGGACATATTGGGCTTTGGTTGTTGGTATTTTGCAGTGTGTTTTTATTATGTTTTATATATATATAAAAAAGTGTGGATTGGGTTTCTTGAAATTTTAGAAGAAAAAACTTTTATTGGTTTTGAAGATTTTACAAATATATAAAAACCAAAAAGATGTATTTTGTGTAGAAAATAATTTATTTTGCAATTTTGATTGTCACAAATTCAAATACTTCAATAAATATTATTTTTATATGATTTATCATAACTTAAAAAATTTATATTCTAATATAATTACCTTAATTAAACTTATAATATAAATTAATTTTTATCTTGTACAAACTCTAACATGTACATTTCATACAAACATGTTATGTTCCATAATCTAATAAAACTATTTTTATCTCTCATAATATTTGTTATCAAAATTTAGTAAGGATGACTTTTCTTCTAGTAATAATTTAGATTAAATTTTTATATACAATTATAATATAAATTAATATACCTTCCCTTATAAGAATTAATTTTTTTTCTTCTAGTTTTTTATATTGTTAATACCATTGGAGGTACAACTTGGATAAGATTTTTTTATTTGTTCATTTGGGTCCAAATCCAATTAAATCAAACAGAACCCATATTAGTTTGGTTTATGTTGGGTTAGGTAAATGGCAAACTTGTCCCTCTCTGGACCCAACCATGTTTTAATCGGGCCGATCAAATCCCGTAGTGATCGAAAACACTTTTTTCCATTTTTGTTTAAAGCAACCAAAAGAATGAATAAAATTTTCTTTGATATCTTTTAATATTTTATTTATTTTTTCAATAATTTTCTAACTTTATGAATGATTTTACCGTTTTCATTAAAAACAAGCTAAAAAAAACCCATTATTTATTGAAGAATATTTAAATAAAATTTTATTATATTCAAATAAGCTTTTGTAAGTTTACTTTATATCAAATAAACAATTATAATTAATAGTTAGTTAATTGTAATTAATCAAAATATTATTTATCTTTTTATGTTCAGATAGTATTGACGTGACATTAGTGTGAGTAATGAAAAATAAAATATGATTACGTTATCATACCACATTAATATGTTACATTAGTGTTATATGGTAAAAAGTAATAAGTGATACTTTGATTATGTTAATTATTAATTACAAAAATTTATTTGATTTAAAATAAAAATGTAAAAGTTTAATTGAATATAATAAAAAAAAATTTTAAAATTTTTTAAATGTTATATATATAAAAAAAACTTGTAGTGTATTGAAATTGAGCTTGGGAAAATACAGAGTATTCATGTTAATATAACATAAACGTATCAACAACTCTAGGTAATAGTGACTCCCTTCTTCTTTTTCGTCTTTTAGTGTTTTCAGCGTAGAAGAAAAGAGCAGCCACACTTCTAACTTTGGAAGGCCAGAATTTTCAAATACTTTTAAATATTATATAGGTGACTTGCTGACCTTGGGTCAATTGGTTCCTCAAATCCAAACGAAAACGAGTTATATGCACTTATATATCTTCGGAAATTAATTCCTCTGTTTTTAAATGTTTAATTGTTTTTTTATTTTCATGGTGATTAAAAAAATTATTTTAATGTGAATAAATAAATAAATAAGTATAAATTGTGAATGAAAAAAATTAGGATATAATATCTAAAAAAACTTTTGAATTATTTTAAAAAATTTGAGTAAATTATTATTCTTTTATTACATTTAATTAATTTTTTATATTTTTATTTTAAACTAAATAAACCATTATAATTAATAGTTGACTAATTGTTATGAATCAAAAAGTAACTTATCATTCTATATCACGTGATACTGACTATAACAACTTAAGTCAAAGCACCAGTGATTTAGTAACATTTTAGACATAAACCACCTAACCTTCAAAAACTTAAATTCAAGTTGTAAATATTGTTTGACTTAGATTTTGATAATTACATTTATATATAGGTTTTGATAATCACATTCATATATAATGTGAGATGGGTATCACAATCTTGCGTAGTGTAAATTGACATATAATTTGATATCATTTATAACGATTCAAGTCCAAGTATCACTAGTCTAATAACTTTTCAAGTCTAAACCACATGACTTCCAAAAGTTTAAAATCAAGTTATAAGTTGTGATTGACTTGGATCTTTATAAGCCTTAATAATCACATTCATATCTAATGTAGAGTGAGATATCACACTGATGTGGCATGTTGACGTGTCATAATGGATGATGACGTGACATGCTGTCATGATAGTATTTTTCATCTTTCACTTTAATATCAAGTGAGTATAAAATAACAAGTGACATTTTGATTAATAATAATGAATCAATTATTAGTTACAAAATATTTATTGAATTTAAAATAAAAATATATTAATTTGATTAAACGTAAAAAAGATATAAACTTATATAAAATTTTTTAAAAAAAATTTAAGAATTTTTTTGAATATTATGTAAAAATCGAAAAAAGAATGCTTTGCAGAAGAAATGGGGGCACACAACAGGGGCAACCAACTGCCAAGACCTGTCTGATCTAATGATTTTGGAACTACCTTTATTTATCTGGATGTTTAGTTGAATTATCAATGCAGAGATATTAATGCTGATACTTGTCTAATGAAACTTCTAATCGATTTTGACGTGTTAGTCAAAGTTAATAGAGCTGTTAAGATAGGAAGAAAGCTACAAGATTGACCAAGATCTAGAACGTAAGCAAGACTCATGAATCAAAAAGTCTTGGAAAGTGTTTCTTTTT